TTGGCTGGAACCGAGTGTAGTCAAAGAAGAATGTCACCTGCACACCATGGATCTCTAAACTAGGTCCAAAAGCTTTATTAAGCGATCACATTGTTACAGCAGGAGCAACGTTTCGGAGCCTTGCAGGACTCCTTCATCAGACATGTGATGATACCTGTGCGAATCACAAACCATGTCCCACACTGCACAAGTGTAACCCTAGACTGAAAGAGTGAATTTCCGCTTTAACAACACTTCGAAAAAGCATTTGTAAACATTGGGAAAACATACAACGTCATGTAGATGGTGGTCCTTGGTAGAATCCAAGCCAGACAGTTCTCCAGGAGGTGCCATGTCTGCCTGAGGCTGGTAAAATTATGCAAATTTTGACAACTTCAAATAAATCTTCGGTTGCACTCCTGGACTAGATTGCAGTAAGGCTCCATGCACACTGATGGCTGGTTTTTTTTAGCTCAAAAAACGCTGGATAAAAAACGCTGGTAATAGCATTTTTTAGTAACATTTTAGGAGCATAAGTGTTTTATTAGCGTTTTTTAAAGTACATTTAGAGGGAAAAAAAATAGAATAAAAAGTTGTTAGGAGCTTTCTAGTGGGGTTTAGCAGCATTTAGCGTTTTTTTTTCTGCTGGAAAAACACTCCAAAAAACTATACAAAAACTTTTTTTTTCTGCTCCTAGAACCTGAAGCTCAAAAAACGCTAACAGCCTAAAGTAGTGTGCATGGACACAGAGGATAACATGATTTAGCTTCTAGGAGCAGAAAAAAAATATGCTGATAATAGCTTCTAGGAGCTTAAAAAAACCGCTAGTGTGCATGGAGACTGAAAGGATATTTATAGAGCAGTTCAGTGATTTATTTGTTTTATAGATTTCCTGAAAACCCCTAATTTTTCAGAACTACTGTGCCCTTAGACATGTCTTCTCAGCCCTGCCATCAACCTTAGTCCTCAGCCCTGCCATCAACCTACTTAACAGCACAAGGCACGGCAAGGCTGTCATCACACTGGATGGGATATTGGAGATACTAGCGAGCAAAAAGTGTCACATTGTATTTCCTCTTCGGTGATCAGAAGACTCTCCGGCGTTCTCACTGATTGTGTGGATGAAAATGTCACCTGTGGCTAAAAATACTTCATGGACTTAGAAGAGTCACTATGGGCTATACTAAGCAAAAGACTCTATTGGGAATCAAACCTTTAGCCCTAGTTCCCTGCAGATCTCTCTTACATGAGCACTGAAAATGCATATAAAATGATAATATAAACCTGTCACCGCAAGACCACAAAATCTACAAACATTTCTAAAAATGAAAACAAAACTGACAATTTGCAATTTACAAACATACATGCACTATAATGAAAGTTTTTTACATGCATTCTTATATATTTATGTGCAATTTTATATAATCCAGTGCAAATCTGCAGGTGTTTTACTACTGTCCTTGCCCTAGGCCTGGTAAGCGCTTTGTATAAAGAACCCTTGTTAACGTATAAAAAGTGCACATTACATGTGTGCGGTAAGGCACCACAACAGTGTGAATCAGACTGAAGAGTTGACCCTCATTCATAAATTCCTCCCTCTTCAGCTCTAATACCTCTACAACACAATAAATCCCGCCTCTGACTACTTCTTAATTGTGTGACTGTTTTGAATGAAATGGTCTCATCTTCAGTACTAAGGCATCTGTGAGAATCTGTAATTCTTGCTGATTGGAAAAAACAACCTCCATGTGAAGTTTGTGCAAACAGCCCCAGTCAGCAGTGGCACAGCCAGATCTGCACAAAGTACAAATTAATGGCCGGTACAGCCACAGGTTGCTTGTAATCACTTGTAGGCAGGTGCAGTCTGTTTTTTCAACTGTAGGTGGCGCGCGCCTGGAGTGGAACAGCAGTGGGCAGGAGGCCAAGAGAAACTTTGTTTCTCTATGGTTTCCATGGTCGCCTTGAGCAGTGTTGCAGTTGGCTACTCTGCATATAGATGACTCTGGTGGCCATCAGCCAAGTATAGCCTTTTTAGGTCCTTGCCCCAATGTTTTGGCATGCATTTGCTAAGTGGCTAGTGTAGGGAGAGGTACCCCATCTGTTAGAGACAGTACTAGTGGTAGGGATAGGTCCCAGAGGAGTAGGGAAAGCTTAGTACCTATGTCTATACTTCTGCAAGCTCCCTTTTGGGTTGGACCAGCCATGCCTCATTCCACCTCCCCCTCCAGGTGCTATATTCAGCTTGGGCCTACTACCGCTGACTCTATACAATGACTGTGAGTTCCCGGAAGTGCGTTTCGCCCACCAGGTTGTTGAGACGGTTCTGCAGGTTCTATAACAGACCAGTTTCTGCATCTAGTGGTGTTATTATTAGTGCCATACTATGCTGCACCCAGGGGTGGACTGACCATTTGGAAACTCGGACACTGCCCGAGGGCCTAGGGTCAGTAGGGGGCCCCATGAGATGCCCCTGGTACCTTTTTCATAGGCTTTTTTGAGTTTGGGCAAGGACACAGGGGCCCCATGATCCCCTATTGCCCGGGGCTCCATCAGTTGTCAGTCCGCTCCTGGCTGCACCTCACTCCCAGTGGTTACATGCAATTAGGGGTTCTGAGCGACTCTGGGAACAGACTGTGTCCTGAAACCAGAAACTGGGTGCATCTAATTGTCTAGCTTGTATGTGGCCCTAGCATAGAGTGTTGCTGCATCCAGATGCAGAATTTTGCCACATCTGAGCGCTGCAGTCTAGCTGCATCAGACTTAAATCTCTCCCAGACCTTTGTCTCAGGTTGATGCCGAGGAATCCATGAGCAATGGTCACACAGAAAAATTATTTGTGAATGAGAGGCAGCCTGATTTGTGTCTAGGTAGGTTAGTGAGCGATGGAGGCTTAAAGGAACCTCTAACCCTCTCCTGTATTATCAGCGGCGTGGCAGTATGTTGCTAGACATCGGTCTGGATCTGCTTTCAGTATCTATTGATTCCCCCTGAATTCTCTTTGAAGACTGGATGATTCAGTATATGATTTACTTGTTCTCCCACATGGTTACAAACATGTTAATGGTATCAGTGTGAACGGGTTTATGGGTCTTGGCTGTGGATGGCTTAAATTTGGATGCTGTTGACAGAGGCTGAGTAGGTCCTTGTATGTAATTTTGGTATCAGCTTCCCACCTCACCTTTCCTAATGGATAGGTTTACATCCCCAGACTTAGTATTAGCAGGGGGGCTGGTTGCCCAGCTTAGGTCTGAATAGACATAGTCCATAGCTTGCAAATGAAATGGGTTTCCATTATCTCCAATAAAGTGGATGGCCGCACACTGAAATACAGAAATTCCAAAAATCTTTATTGAAGCAAAATCCACAATAAAACATGATAGCGCCAGGATCTGAAGAAGATTTTTTAATGTGTTTCCTTTTAAGTGGTGGTAAATTTACCTTATTTGTACCTACAGGTAAGCCTGAAATTTATTTATTTATTTATGGTACTTGTATAGCAGCATCAATTTAATCTGTGGGGTATATATATATATATATATATATATATATATATATATATATATATATATATATTGTACATTCACATCAGTCCCTAACCCTCAAGGGAAGTACAAGCTAAGGTCCCTAACTTACATTCATACATACACATACTAGGGACAATTTAAACAGGATTCAATTAACCTACCAGCCTATCTTTGGAGTGTGGGAGGAAACCGGAGTACCCAGAGGAAACCCACGCAGGCACAGGGAGAACATGCAAACTCCAGGCAGGTGGTGCAGTGGTTAAGATTCAAACCAATGACCTTAGTACTGCCAGGCGGAAGTGCTAACCATTTAGCCACTGTTCTGCCCAAATAAGGCTTACCTGTAGGTGCACTGTTTAGGAGATATTTACTATAGTAGCAGTCGGTGACAGCACTGGCGCATGCTCACTGAGTTTTCAACAGATGGCGTGACATTCATGGAGAAAGCTGTGCCATGGCCATGACTCCTGCGGCATGTCATCATGGCTCGACCAGTCAAATAGCCAAAGCCGTTGAACCCGGAAGGAAGACCAGGTGAAGATGGAAGCCCTGTCAGTGGTGTCAGCGTGCTGCTGGAGGGCTTCGTTCTAAGGTAAGTCTTTCATAATGTGCTAGTATGCGATGCATACTAGCACATTATGCTGTTATTTTGAAGGGGACCATTTTTCCTGAATTGTTTTGGGCGGTTTACTACTGCTTTAATGGTTTGTTGCCTGTGGATAAAGTTTGGGTCAGCCCATTATAAATGCCATTGCATTTTCAGGCCATAAACATATTTTGATGCCTAAGTCATTCTTCATTTATTATATATAAAATATACAGTATATAATATTATCTCCCATGCGCAAAGTTATGTTCTAACAACAGGGGGAAAGAACGCAATCTTTAGGATCCATGTACACTGGGCTTAAAAAAAACGCTGCCTCTAAAGGAGTTTTTTGTTTCGCCTGTAGAAGCAGCTCAAAGTTATCCAATGTGTCCATGCATATTAGGACGCTTAGAGGCATACTTTAAGTCAGGGGTCCTCAAACTGCGGCCCGCCGAGGACATATATCCGGCCCGCCGGCAGGGGCGTACTTGCCACGATGAAGGGACACTAAGTACAGGGGTGGGCAGGGGGCTGCTGTATCTTACCTGGCTCCGTGTCCCAGTCCCATGACGATCCAGTCCAGGAAGCGCTGCTCCTTCATTCACTCTGGCCACTCCCTCACTCGATGTTCGCGCTGCCGCTCGGCTCCGCCTCCTCACCGGTGATTGGGCGCCAGAACTGTAGCTCAGGAAAGGCACACAGGGGGCCAATCACCTGCGAGGAGGCGGAGCCAAGCGGCCCCGCGAACATCGAGTGAGGGAGAGGCCGGAGTGAAGAAGCACAGCTGACAGGTAAGCGTGCTGTGCTGACTGCAGCAGCACCATGCTGGAGCAGGGGTCAGCAAGTTAAGTGTCATTGGTGTCAGTGGGAGGAATAGTGCCCCATCATTGGTGTCACTGATACTAATGATGGGGCATTATTCCTCCCACTGACCCCAATGATGGGGCACTATTCCTCCCCCCACTGACACCAACGATGGGGCACTATTCCTCCCCCCCACTGACACCAACGATGGGGCACTATTCCACCCCCCACTGACACCAACGATGGAACACTATTCCTTCCCCCACTGACACCAATGATGGGGTACTATCCCCCCCACACTGACACCAATGACAGGGCACTATTCCCCCCCACTGACACCAATGACGTACTATTCCTCCCACTGACACCAAAGATGGGGCACTATTCTTCCCACTGACACCAATGATGGGACACTATTCCTCCCACTGATACCAATGATGGGACACTATTCCTCCCACTGACACCAATGTTGGGACACTATCCCCTTCCCCCACTGACACCAATGACGGGGCACTATTTCCCCCCCCCCACACACTGACACCAACGATGGGGCACTATTCCTCCCCACACTGACACCAATGATGGGGCACTATTCCTCCCCCCACTGACACTAATGATGGGGCACTATTCCTCCCACTGACACCAATGATGGGGCACGATTCTTCCCACTGACACCAATGATGGGGCACTATTCCTCCCACTGATACCAATGATGAGGCACTATTTCGCTCCATAAGACACACTTGGGGGGGAAACGTCTGTGCGTCTTATGGAGCGGCCGGCCCAGTATACCCGCCGCCGTTGTATGTCCTCAGTCTCTGGTCATCTCCTGTACTGTGTCTGCATTTGTTCATAGTTTTTTTTTTTAAAACTATAGTCCGGCCTTCCAACGGTCTGAGGGACAGTGAACTGGCCCCCTGTTTAAAAAGTTTGAGGACCCCTGTTTTAAGTGTTTTGAAGCAGAAAAAAACCCTTTTGGTTTGCATTTTTGAGAGGAGCTTTCTGCCTGAAAAAAGTTAAATTCCCCTAAATGCGTGTAGAAAAAGGCTGTATATGAGTGTTTTTTTCTAAGGAAACTTTTTTTTTTTATCTGGATCCCATTGGGGAGATTTCTTTCACTTCCTGTCCCATAACAAAAACAGGAAGTGAGCAGAAACCCGTCCAAAGTCAGGGGATCCCTAGTTGTCACAGGGGTCACCAGAACTAGTGTCTCCATTGGAGGATTTCCTATTTCTGTTCTGGTGACAATCCATAAATGTAGGATCTTCCTTCACTTTCACTGATAGTGGTAAACAGGACAAAAAGAGAGGCTAATAAATCTCCCTAACGGGGTCACAGACAGCAGAAAAAAAGCCAGACAGGTGTTCTCATTCCTCTCCACTATATCTGAGACAAAAAAAAAAGGTTTTGTTCTTTAGTTATAACTTAACAACTGCTTCATGCGCAAGCAGTGAAGGAGCAGCCTACTGGTGACCCCTCTAGTGATAACTAAAGATCTATATAGAGGAACCAGGACCTCCTTCCTCCTCCTGGGGACCCCTCTAGTGATAACTAAAGATCTATATAGAGGAATCAGGACCTCCTTCCTCCTGCTGGTGACCCCTCTAGTGATAACTAAAGATCTCTATAGAGGAATCAGGACCTCCTTCCTCCTGCTGGTGATCCCTCTGGTTATAAATAAAGATATATATAGGGGAATCAGGACCTCCTTCCTCCTGCTGGTGACCCCTCTGGTTATAAATAAAGATATATATAGGGGAATCAGGACCTCCTTCCTCCTGCTGGTGACCCCTCTAATGATAACTAAAGATCTATATAGAGGAATCAGGACCTCCTTCCTCCTGCTGGTGACCCCTCTAATGATAACTAAAGATCTCTATAGAGGAATCAGGACATCCTTCCTCCCGCTGGTGACCCCTCTAATGATAACTAAAGATCTCTATAGGGGAATCAGGACCTCCTTCATCCTGCTGGTGACCCCTCTAGTGATACCTAAAGATCTATATAGGGCAGGGGTGGGCAACTGCGGCCCTCCAGCTGATTGGTGAACTACAAGTCCCATCATGCCTCTGCCTTTGGGAGTCATGCTTGTAACTGTCAGTTTTGCAATGCCTCATGGGACTTCTAGTTCTACAACAGCTGGAGGGCCACAGTTGCCCACCCCTGATATAGGGGAATCAGGACCTCCTTCCTCCTGCTGGTTACCCTTCTAGTGATGCATCCTAGAATTCTATCCGCTTTTCTCACTGCCTGGTCACACGGTTTGCTCATTTTGCAATCATCTGAAATACATATCCCCAAGTCATTTTCCTCTGTAGTTCTGGCCAACAGTGTACCCCCCAATATTGTATATTGTCAATGGATTATTTTTCCCTTGGTGCATTATTATTACAAAGGAAAAAAATTTCCCTCACAAAATGTTAGTGTCATGTTATTCGTTACCACCCACTGAATGTCCCAATAGACTGAAATCTAATTGCACTGAATAAAAGAATCCTGCTGTCCACATAACAATAGTATCTTCATAATGGCGGCTAATTTCTTATAATTAAACTCTGGAAATATATCAAATTTGTGGCGATTTGCAACATGATTGAACAAAGTTACTAGATGAGATGTGAAGTACACAGAAAAGATTTGATTCCCCTTATAACCAAGAAAAATATAATATTTCTGCTTCAGAAGGCTCTTTCACATCTTGGGACTGGGTGCAGAACAAAACCATAATAATCCCTCCTGAATAGAGTCCATACAGTGCAAGCGCTGAGTGTGCGGTTGGTTATGCAAGGAAAATGTCATTTTGCTTCCAAGCCACGGCTAGTTTACCCAGCCTAAAAAGCGGCAAGTCTGCGGTGCCAATGTTGTGCTGCACACTGTGAGAACACAGGCTGCAAGATAAATGAATTGCTCATGTTAAAAAAAGGAACTCTGCTAAACACTTTCCCCATATAAACATAAGGCTATTGCACTATTTCTAAAACACAACTTTCTGTAAAGAAAGAAAACCTAATGTTCATTGCATTCCTATTTCTGTTGATAGTAAAAACGATTAAAGTCATAAAAAGACTCCTGCACTTCCCTTCTAGAATTTCTATGTCATACTAATAAGCTAGCCAGCACATCAATGTTATAAAAATTAAAGCATATCCAAACCCAAAAGCAAAAATGTTATATATATTTCAGTTACCAATTCTTAGTGGTGGCTGCATTAGGTGTCTTTTCTTTAAGAGTTTTTTTTTTTTTTTTATCTTCACCTGGTGATCCGATCATTTAAGTCTTTTATTTTTCAACTTGCTTTACCAGACCAAGCTGTCCAGCAAAAGTGACAGTTACAGGGTGGAGACAAACCACTGACAGGGGTGCTTACAACCTTTATCCCAAAAGTAAAAAAAAAACTTTGCTGTAACTGCTTTAAAAACTGTTAACTGGGGTTCAGCTTTAAACTGTTAGTCAAGTCCATCTAAATATGCTAGCACATCTAACACTACCCTCTCCCCACACTGACAATGCTACTGTACGAAGGTATCTCCGTTGCTCATCCTGAGAGGTAAAGATTGCCAGAGAAAATTTAAGAAAAAAGCCTATAAATTAGAAAGCAAATGCAGCCACCCCATTTAAAGATTGTAAACTGCAAAATATTCCATTTTTGTTTTAATCTTGCTATAAATCTAACTCCAGGGAAGGAAAAATGTTTTCTTTTTGGTGGGGCCGCCCCAACATTGCAAGGATTAAGTGCTTGTTTGGGTCTAGCGGAATCACATAAGGCTGTAATACTAATTCTTCTCCCCTACACTCTAACGTTCGCATGTCCTCTGATATCATCAATTCCAATGCCATGCCCCCAGCCCCGAACTGGACATGAGGATGTCAAGGGACAGCCACTGTCATAGCACATGGGAGTAGAGGAGAGCACCACCTGCTAAGGTGAGCAAAGGATCAGGCAAGTAAAACTTATTTTAACGTAAATGGGTTTTAATCTATCTATCTATCTATCTATCTATCTATCTATCTATCTAAGAAATGGAAAACCACTAAATGCAGGCAGTACAGACAATACAGGCAGAAACAGGTAAGATGAATAGTTGCCATTTCTAGTAAGAAGGATGTCCAGGCTACATTTAAATTTACTTATACCAGCAGTCCCCAAAAATATGTACAGTACTGCTGTGAGAGAAGAATGGTCCAACATCCAGCAAAGTACCAGAGCGGGCATAGTCAGGCTAAGTGATCTCCAGTCCGATGGTGCCTGTATAGTTCAAGTTAGACAGCCAGTAGAGGAACAGCACAGGACCACATATTCAAAGGTAAGTGACCACTAAACACCAATGCTTGGGAAGCATTCCTCGACCCACTGATGCTATTCCTTCCACTGGCATGCCATATATGCGGCAGGAGATGTTCAGACATGGGACTGTTACATCAAACACAAAGACCTCATTACTAGAGAAAACATACAAAAAGTTAAAAAGTAAAATTTAGTTTGGATTGATTAGCCATTATTTAACACAGCTGCCCTCTTCTGTATCTTTATCAACTCTGCCCTTTTAGAGAAAAGTTCCTAAATGTTCATCAACCAGGATGCTTAGACTTTAGTAGTGTGTTGGGAAACAAGACCATGGGGGCAGCTTCAAAATCTGCCATGTGATTGGTTGGCACAGGTCCTCGCACAGCATGTTGGCACTCAGCCTTTCTACTGATAAATGTGAGAAAGAGAGGAAAAGGAATTTAAAGATTGTTTCACTATCCACTTCAAAACTCCATGCAGACAGCTAAGCTGATGCCTCATTATCTGCTCCCGTAAAATATCTGTTTAAGAACCTCTACAATTTTTCAAGAGTGAATTCAATTACTATGTAAACACTTTGTGGTACTTGAAAGGACAGACTTATAAACTGTAAAATCAGTGTTCATCCTTGGATCTTTATGTAACCAGTCACGGTTTCCCCAATCAATTTACTTGAATGATGACAAGGTTCATTACTTAGAAGCATGGGTTATGTGATTAAAAGAGCACCTTCAATGTCCTACTTGATTATGAAGAGAAGGACTTTTGCATGGTTTCTTGTTAGAGGTCTTTGATCTGCCTCATGACATGTCGGACCTCTGCATGACCTCTGTATGTTGTCTAATTATCTGTCTCTCTAAACTCTAGCATACAGTTTTGTGCACAAGTCAAGGTCCCCACAGACAGGTCAAATTCTGGCTGATTCCTGAATTAGAGGAAAATTTGAGCCATGGATGGCCCTGCAGGTACAACCAGACTTGACAAAAGTTGATTTCAAACCGAGTGAGCCAAGGTAGAAAATTATCAGCTCAACAGTGACTGCATCCTATCAGATCCAGTTACTGTTTGACAGCACCAGCAGCCGAGGTAGCCGTGGCTGCCAGAATATAACAGTAGAGTGGATGGAGTCATCCATGCTCAGCCCAATATTACTGACCACATGCTTTACAATACACCTGCTTTACCCCTTTTTTCCACATCAGAAACCAGTCAAAGCCATATTTACCATACACTACACAAACCTAGGGGCCAGTGCCAAAGGCAGAAGAAGGTTAGTAGGGTCGACATTCAAAATTTTGGTTGCTTCATTGTTTTCCCATTTCCTGACCACCTG